TGAAAGACAGACACACACTCACTAAAGACTAAACAAGTACTTTCCCTCCAATCATTCATCGTCTCCAATATCAGCTTTAGTTTAGTTTAGTTTTATATCTTTGTTAACAACTATTTTGATCATCGACTGAAGCAAAAAAAGTCAAACATTTGTTGGTTTCAGCTACTCAAATGTGAGTTTTTGTTGTTATTCTCAGTCCTACGTCACTGAAAACTAATATATTTTAGGTTTTAGACCGTTGGTCTGATGAAACAAGAAGTCATTTGGGTCATTTGTGGCTATTTTCTGACATTTTATCGACAAGTGCTTAAAATAAGAGAATGAGAAATAAATGAATCAATAATAGAGCCATTTCCAACAACTTTCATAATCAGTCAGATGTACCAAACATCAGCGGATTTCATCTTATCAAATATGAGGATTTGCTGTTATTGTCTGTTTAATATCATTGTAAACTGAACATTTTGGGGGTTTTAGACATTTTAAGACATCACCATGGACTCTGTAATGGGTATATTTCACTTTTTTTATAATCCAGTAATTGTTTAATTTATTTTTCAAGCAAAAATGCCAAATATTTCCTGGTTACAGCTTCTGAGTTGTAAGATTTTTCAACTTTTCTTTGTCTTAAGTGATAGTAAACTGAATATCTTTAGGAAAAAAGAAACAAAATTCCCCTCAAAGGTACATAAAGCAACCTGGTACTTATGTATGTATTTATGTAAAGCAAAGTGACACTGGCTTTATGCCTGGAGTACAATGGGCCCAGGTGTGCCACATGCTGCTGATTAAGTCTCCTAATTAGGTCTGCAGTTCTGTAACTTGGTAACTTGTTTACCTTTTAAAAGCTTGTTGTTCTTTTTTGCCTACTCCTATAACTGTGTTTACACTGTTCACACGCAAGTAACTTACAACTTTCATAATTGATTCTGATTCATTTTTCAATCAGAATTATCTCAAATATTAGGATTTGCTGTTATTGTCTGTTTAATATCATTGTAAACTGAATATTTTGGGGGGGTTTTAGACATTTTAAGACATCACCATGGACTCTGTAATGGACATGTTTCACTATTTTTGACATTTTATAGCCAAAATGATTAATTGAGGAAACCTGAAACCAAAGCCCAACAATGTAGTAATTGTTTATGTAATTTATCAAGTAAAATGCTTTATACCACTGTTAGCTCAATATCTTTGGATTTTAGACTGCTGTTCAGACATAAAAGTATCCAAAGAACTCCAGGAAACTGTGATGGACATTTTGTCTCTTACTTTCTGACATTGTATAGAGAGAAACATACACAGCAGAGAGTGTTTCGCCTCACATATGACCCATAAACATACACCCTCACCTCTCACAGTGTCGTCAATGTACACATCTGTAAAGAAATCACTGACATTCACTGAGGAACTGTTGGTTAAACTTTCTCCTCGTGTTTTCAGGGGCATCTCTTTAAACTTCATGGTAACACCTATAAGCATGCCATGATGTGTGAACACAGCTGGTTGGCCTGCTGCTCTTTTTTAACATCTCCAGCAATAAACACAAACTGAATGCAGGGGAAAAGAAACACACACACACACACACACATACACACATATAACCACGAGGGCCTGGCTTTTTCCCCCCTCATGTGCATGAGCAAAAATCCCCCCCAGAAAAACCCAAAACAGGCGAACAGAGCAGAAAGCAGAGGAGGGTTAATTACCTCCTCTGAGCATCACCACCACCACCACAGCTCACATTTCACCTCACATCTGTTAAAACGCACAACCACGTCAGCTGGCCTCCTATGTGTATATATATATATGTGTGTGTGTGTGTTTTTTTCCTCCCTTTTCCCCCTTTTCTTTCGGTGCAATGCATGAGAGAGAGAGAGAGAGAGAGAGAGAAACCCCCCCACTTACCTTCCACATCCAGGCCATTCTTATTTCTACGCAGACAATGGTGGACCGCTTGTTTTTCTTCAGCTCTCCCCAAAAACGCCGTTCACCGCGTCCGTTTCCCCAACACTGCTGTTCCTGAATGCATCACAGGAGGAGACACGGTGCGGTTATATGTGCGGTCGGCTCCATTAATATTGGAGTGTACCGTTATTCGTCTCCTCTCTCGGGTTTTTGGAGCTGCTGGGACCTGGACCGACGCTGCGCTGCTACTGGTCGGCGCAGACGCAGAGCCCCGCCCCCCGCCGCGTCACGTGACCGCAGCTGATTTCCTGACTTCTGCTGAGGAGGAAGTTTCCCTAAGTCCAGGATTTACATCAACAGTACAACAGTAACAACAGTACAACAGTAACAACAGTACAACAGTAACAACAGTAACAACAGTACAGCAGTAA